GCGCAGTCACCCGGGGGCCTCGGGTGGCTTTCCAGGGGTTCGGTCGGGCGTGTCCCTCCACAGGAGGAGGATTCGAAAGTCGTTTGGCAATGCTGCGGAGACGATGCTTTGACGATCTGGGTGTATGTTTTTCGCACCTGTTTGTTCTTCTTCCAAGACCCGCCTGTAGGAGGACATGCCCGACCTAAGTCTGGGCGTTCAGGGGCATTGCCTCCTGACCTCCTGGCCGCGCATGCATCCTCGTGATCTGGTCGCACTGTATCTCAGATCGTCGTAGCCGGCCCCCCGCGCCTGCGAGGGTGGGCAGGCACTGGCCAGGCCACTGGCTAGAGGATCACTTCATGTGCAGACCAGGAGTGCGCAGCGTTGGACGTCCAGAGTCGACGACCAGGCGTTCGACGTCCGACAATGCCAGGGTCCTCTCGTCCAAAACTGGGGGCGGCGCAGCGTTGGACGTCCGACGTTCGACGTCCAGGGCCCGACGTCCCGACGAGTCCCCAACATCCGAAGTCACCGACAGGAGGGGGAACGGCGCCCTGGCAAGAGATACGGCCACAGCCCTCGACCTCCTCCCTTCTCGCTGCGAAGCGGGGCTCGTGTCCTGCGGGGCAGGGGTGCTCCCCGAGCTTTCTCGCAGTCTTCCGCCTCCCGGGGGGGCCCCCTCTGGGCCCCGGAATGGTTATATATAGAACTGTTCCCTTTGCCTCCCTTGGTGGGTTCGGAGTGCATGGGGTCCTCCGCCGAATCGCCGAGGCATCGCCGCTGCGGCCCGATGCGGAGCCCGATCTCCTCCACGCGGACGTCGCCGCTGCATTGTCGACGTCTCCATTGCTGTAGATTCATTGCTGGCGATTGCCCGTAACGGCTTTGGAATATGACGGGAAGTTTGGAGTTCACAGGTAAACGCAACATATTTGTCTCTTTCATTGTGAATATCATGCATACTTGCCATTAGTGTGTATGAGCTGATATTTACATCAACGTTTTCCACACTCGAATTTGTTATAGTATAACTTTGTTCGAGTTGGCTTGAGGGTTGTTTTTGCGTGAACTGTTGTTAGTTGTTATACCGTGGATTTGTTTTGAGCTTTATTGGATTTGCTGTGAGCGTAAGTTGATGCTGCGTTTGACCTTTCAAGTTTCAACAAGCTTATTTCAAGATTGCCTGAGCTTGTTTTGAACGTTCCGAATTTCACATGTGTTGGCGCTATGTTGAACTGAGTTTAAGCCTGTGTCGCATTTTCGATGTGCATTATCAGTTTCGATCCTGTGCCTCAAGCTCGATACAATACGAGCCTCTGAGCCCTTCTGGAGCCCCCTGCCGTCTTAGCCCCTGGTCTTGTGGAATGCCAGCAAAACCGCCTTCCAAACCTGTAGACCCGTCTGGATTGGTTTAAACGTAGACTGGAGCTTAAATCCAAAGCTACCCATGCTATCTTGTTCAACCCTTCTGGCAAGTCAGGGGAAGGACGGGTCGGACGAAGGGGGGGGGTCGGAGAGGGGGCTTGCGACACCTGCTGCTGCATGCAGCTGGTTTCGGCCCCGACGCCAAGGCCTGTTCTCGATACGTGGCCACCTTCGGCGCCGGGAGGCGCTGGACAACCAGCCGCGTGAACTGATTCGCTAGCCCCCCTGTATTAGCCCCCCCTACCATTCGACCCGGGAAGTCCCCCCCCCTTCCTCGCCCCTCCCCCCCATGGCCTGCGCGCCGCCAGCTTTCGACTCGCCTGCATCCTGCTGCACCGGCGCCAAGACGAGTCAAACTCGCGGGCCCTGGAGCCCCGTCGATCTCGGTTGCGCGCCCGGGCGCCCCCCCGTCGAGGAACGAACAAACAGAAGAAGAAGACGACGAAGAAGAAGAAGACGACGAAGAAGAAGAAGACGACGAAACAGAAGAAGAAGAAAAACAAGAAAAAGAAGACGACGAAACAGCATTACTCGGATCGGCCGTTGGGCCCCCTGGAGGCGGGCCCAGCGCCCATCCGAGAAATCCGTGCAGACCTTCGAAGAAGCCGATGCTTGCCCAGACACGCTCGGACATTGTCTCAACCCGCGTCGCCAGAGCTCCCGGCCCCGTCCCTAAGGGTAGATTCTCGTCAGGAGGAAAAGAAACACACAGACACAATGAATCCTGGATTCCCCAGAAAATATGGGAAAATATGGGAAGTGGGCGGGAGGACAGAAACCTAGAAAATATAGGAAAATATTGGGAATATCTTTATTTGCGTGTATTTATTTGTGTGTCCTTGGGCCCCTTCATCTCGTCCCCGATCCATGTTTGATGGCCCGGGGGCTGGTTCCTCGTCATTCGTCTCCGTGGCTGGTGCTTCGCGTGGTGGAGTCTGCTTCCCCTCCGTGGGGAAGCGGGCAGCTTCCATCTCAAATCTGCCCTGGGCTCCTAGAGAACAGAAGCTGTGATGACCACGGGGCTCGATGCTGGGCTCAAGAGGCCGAAATCGAGGAGAAGCGCCTGGTTAAAATGCAACCAGGTCGTCTGATATTTAGTTCTGTCGCTCTTGTCCCCGGTATTATTCCTCGGGAGCCCAGACCAAAAACGAAGCCGGCATTGCGGCGAGAGCCCGATGCTTGGGCGTCGCGCAATGGAGGGCAATGAATGGTGGGCAGCGAGGGCCACAGAGAAGGGGCCCTCCAGGGCCCCTGAAGGAGCCCTTTTTAGGACCCAAAAGGGGCTGTCAGGGTCCGACGTGTGCACTTTTCGCCCCCACCATTCATCGACCCCCCCCCCCCCACGAAGCGACGCCCGAGATTCTCAGATAACCTGCGAGGAAGTCAGCCTCGGGCCAAAAAGGCTGCCGCACTGGCTGCCGAACTGGCTGCCAGACCGGGCGGTCTCGGGCCCCCCGTCCCCATTGTTGGACTCCCCTGTGGTCCTTAGGACCGCTTGCAGAACCCTCGAGGAGAGCTATTGGGGAAAAAACATGTCGCCAGAAGTCAGAGCAGCCGCTCTTCCCTCGGGGAACAAACAATGGCATTCTCAAAAATGTTCGGAGGTTCGCGCAGATTTCTCGGATCGGCGGTGTAGCCCTCTGGCGGCTCCTCCAGCGCCGCCCCTGGCAAGCTCCGCGCGCCAGGGAGGGGGCTGCAGCGCCGATCCAAGAAATCCGCGCGGACCTCCGACAGTTTACAGTCGAGTATCTGAATAAGAAACGTCCCTCCCAAAAGCTGGGCCAGCGTTTCCAAACCAACTTGCCAGAAAGCTTGCCCAGTGCCTTGGGCACGTTCGCCCTTCGAGCGTTAACAACAGAAATGGGCCCAGGTGTGGTCCAAGAGTTTGCAGAGAAGCTGGCCTGGGTCTCTTAGATAGTATATGAGTTGATTGTTAGTGTTGTCAGGCTGCATGTCATTACGTACACTCGGAACGAGAATCAGATCAAGGTCGGTTCGAGGAGGGTAGCTACCCCAGTGTTCTTCGTCTTCGTGGGATGTCCTCGTGCATCCTGTGGGAGGTCCCCTGGGATGTCCTGTGTGTTTCGGCCGGCGGAGGGCCTCGTGCTCACGGAGGCTGTTCTTTGGCCCGTGTCCGACTGTGCACATTCGTTCCCCGATGTCCCTTCCCTCCGCAGGCACGCTGACGGCGATGTAGGCAGCGGTATCGTGGGGACGTGTTCTTTCGGTGCAGTCGCAGATTGCTCAGTTGCCAATCACGGGAGCCTCGTATAGCCTCTTAATTCCGTCTTCAGCGTCGACTCGCATCGATTTAGTGTCTGGGAGTCGATGAGATAGCGCCGATTTAGCGCCAGTTAGCGTCGATTTAGCGTCGACGAGTGTCGATCCGCAGGAGCCGCCCACCGAAATATTTGGACATGCAGGAGGGTGTGGTTCGTGATCTTCGACAAGCTGGCCCCCAGCAGCACCGTGAAGTAACATCGCCATCGGCGCGGCCTTGGTCCCCGCCCCTCGGCTGATGATGTTCCAACCCCCTCTTCCTCCTCCTCCTCCTCCTCCTCCTCCGCCTCCTCCGCCTTCTTCCCTCCTCCTCCTCCGCCTCCTTCTCCTCCTCCTCCTCCTCCTCCTCCTCCTCCTCCTCCTCCCCCTCCTCCTCCTCCCCCTCCTCCTCCTCCGCCTCCTTCCCTCCTACTCCTCCCCCTCCTCCTCCCCCTCCTCCTCCTCCTCCTCCTCCTCCTCGATCGCTAGAAATCACTTCGAGCACCAGAGAAGCACCGGCGCTGGAGGGTTTTGTCACGCGTCGGGCCCTGGGAGGCGATGCTCGTTCGACACGGTTTCGCTACTTTTGCCCCGGTGCTCGGAATTTTCGGTCTGGGATGTAGTCCTTCAGTTCTGTTGCATCTTCGGGGGACCTCGCCTGTCCCCAAAATTGGTGTTTTTTGGGGGTCCCGACGCGTGCTCGATGCGGACTCGACGCGGATTTGGCGTGGATTCGACGCGGATTCGACACGGATTCGACACGGATCTGACGCGTCCGACATGGATTCGACACGGATTCGACGCGGACAGGGCCGCGACGGGACAGACAAGGTCCCCCGAGGATGCAACATAAGTTCAGCACGATGAAGGGGGCAACATAACGCATGGGGCCGTCCGAGGCGCGCCCTTCCAGGGGGCGGCGCGCTGACGGAGGGGGGTCTCCGACGGGCGGCCGCGCCCTCGGGCGGTCTTGGCGCGGGCTGCCCATGCGGCCCGTGGCGGCGAGGGGAGGAGCACGTCGGCGAGCGCGGGGGGGAAGTTTCGTTGTTCGAGGTTCGAGGTTCGAGGTTCGAACTTGTTGTCTGGGATGTGCTCCTCAATCCGGCGACCGCAGGCATGGATCACGCGGGGGCGTGGACGAGCGACGGGCCCCGCTTCCATGGGAGATCGCGGCTTGCCCCCGCCGAGCGAGGCGGCACCGGCCGCACCTTGGGGAACTCCCTCGATCCATGGATGTGGCGATCGCGCGCCAGATCGATGCATCGCTATGGCCCATGCCTGCGCGCCCCCAGCTGGCGCACGAGGGGGAGCAGCGGCAGCCTCGGCCGCAGGAGCACGGACTACCCCTCCGGCAGCGGGCCCGCGCCGATCGTGCACCTCTCCACCAGCGTGGAGCCGGACCGCCGCCGCCTCCTTTTTCAACGGGCGGGCGGCTCGAGCCCGGCCTCGCTCGGCTCGGGCGTGGTTTTGTTTGGACGTGGCCGGGGCTGCGCGCGCGGGGCCCGAAGCGTACTCACACGGTGCGTTCTGACACTGTGCAAGCAGCGTTCTAACGCCACAGGACCCGACGGAGCTCAAACTTGTTCGATCGGGGCCGCGATCGGTTCAAGGCTGACCGATCGAGGCAGGGTCAAAAACCTCTGCGTGCGCTGCCGCCGCACGAGCCGACCGTACGCAGCCCTCGCTCCGCGCTCTTGTGCCCGACCAGGTTGTTTGCGGGGGTGGTGTGCGAAAATCTTGCCCGTCGGGCGGGCGGCCGCTCGCGCGAGGGCCGAACGGCGCTTTTTCCGAGGCGCCGTGCAGGGACCGGTACGATCGGAAAGGGTACGAGAAGGATGGGCACGAAGACCGGAATCGGCCACGCGCAGAGGTGAGTAAAGGGAGGGGGAAGGCTTCGTAGAAGCACCCATGCTTCTCAGAAGGCGCGGGCCTTGTTTATAGATGTAAGGCTGGCGCTTTCTAAGAAGCAGCCTCCTTCTAAGAAGGCTTCCCCCCCGCTACCCTCTTGTGCTCGCCGCCAGTGCTTTTGTTGCACAGGGCTCGCCGTCGGTGTCGCCGCGGACGTTGTCCATGTGCCGCCTACCCAACAGCGGCCGCTGTCTGTTTTGGACAGCATTTGTTGTTGGGCATCGTGCCCTCCATTTCCGAAACATTGCTGGGTGTGTGGAACGGATTTCCTGAGAGCTCGCTCCCAGATCGCCGACGACACGATGTTTTGAATTCTGGCGCCGTGGCTCGAGCTCGGCCTCCAGGGCCCGATATCAGGCCCCGGGGCCGTCAAGCATAAGAAGCTGCCCCGGGGGGATGGGGTCGGGAGCTTCTCGAGGCTGCGGGTTGAACATGTCGAGTCGGAGGACGTCTAGGCTCCCGCCACGCGCTGCCTCCCATGTTCAGGAGAGAAAGAAACACACAGACACAATTAATCGTCGACTCCCAGGAAAATATGGGAAAATATGGGAAGTGGGGGGGAAGACAAAAACCTAGAAAATATAGGAAAATATAGGGAATCTGTTTATTTGTGTGTATTTATTTGTGTGTCCTGGGGCCCCTTCACATGTATCGTTCCGTCGCCAGGTCGGAGATCCAGCCCGAGCGCTCTCGTAGCTCCGAGCAGCTCGCTGCACTCTGAGGCCTGCAGCGCCTCGGGAGCCTCCCATGGCGCCATCCACGGCAGAGTTTCTTGTGAGGCGGCCTCCTTGCGAGCGACGGCCAACCTTTCCGTCGCCGAGTCGTCGGATGCGTGGCCGCGCGCGAGCGTCGCCCGCTCGCCAGATGGGGCGTGCGCCAGTCCTCGATGTGTCCAGCGAAGGGAGGGTGGCAGTGGGCGGGGGCGTTGGCTCGTTCGAGCTGGCCCAGCTTGACTCGTACTGTGAAGTCGGGCATGTTCGCCTCCAGGAGGAGTGTGCAAAAATAGTCAAAGAGAGTAGCCTGGGGACGACTTCTTCTTGTTTTTCCTATTCTGGAGTATGTTCGAATACGTTTTGGGCATGTTTGAAACATGTCTCGTCAGGCATCCGCCTGTATGACAGCCCCTCGGACGCTGCCCCGGTAGCTCCCGAGACTGCTCCTGCAGCCCCTGATCTTGCATAGTGATCCTGGTCCTACTGCTCCATGTCTCTCTCGCAGACAAATCCGAGGGGGGGTCCGCAATCGACTGATTGCAAAAAAAACCAGGATTGCAAAAAAAAACGAAGGATTGCAAAGGATTGCAAAAAAACCTTCGTCCTTCGGTTGTTTTGCAATCCTTCGTCCTACTGCTCCATGTCTCTCTCGCAGACAAACCCGAGGGGGGGTCCGCAATCGACTATCCCACCGTCTGCCCCAAGAGGCCGCCAAGGAGCCCCAAGGGACTCCCAAGAGGTCCCCCAGAGGCCCCCAAGAGGCCCTGAAGAGGGCTCCAGGGCCGGCGGAATGAGCGAAGCGATCATAATCAGCGAGAAAGCTCTGGCGCTGCTTCGCCGTGAAACCAAAAAAACGGCACGCACACAAATTTCCCACGGTCCGCGCGGATTTCTTCAGGATGGACCCCAGATAAATATTAGCTTGGGTTTATAATGTTTTGGGAACATTAACTGGGGTTCATTTTGTTCCTCCCCGGAACATTGTAAACCTGGGTTTATAATGTCCTGGGGGTATCAACTGGGGTGCATGATGTTCCCTTGGAACATTACCAACTTCGGTTTACAATGTTTTCTGGGCCCCAGCTCCGGAACCCCAAGACAATGAAATGGGTTTGTTATGTTGAAATGATACCAACGATTAGTTTCCCCCGAACCCCCTGTCACCAGGGTGAGAATTGTTAGGTTCGAGCGTTGACACTAGTTTATTATTCCCGGGACATTCTGAACTTGGTCTTCGTATTCCGGAATGATATTAATCGAGCCGGGGGGGAGGTCGACTTGATTTACTGGTTCTTACCGGGATATTGCAAACTGGGTTCATTATTCCGGAATGATACTAATCGAGCAGGGGGGGAGTCGATTTGGTTTGCCCCCTAAACCCAAGCGCCTCACAGGGATAATATCAGCCACATATTATTATTCTGGAATAAAGAACCTAGGCATTCATTCTGGAAAGACAATTATGCAGCTGGGGGGGGTGACCGACAACTCCGCCATAAGATCTTGGATTGAGGTTCATTATCGAATGATTACAGACTTAGGTTTATCTTTCTTCGTTCATGAAACCCGGTCGACGAGGATTTCACGGGTGTCCTCGATTTCTTGGGTCTGCGTTGGACCCCCCTCCTTGGCGCGCGGAGCGCGCCAGAGGCGCTTCCAGGGGCGCCCAGCGCAGATCCAAGAAATCCGCGCGAAGCGTCGACAGCTTATTGTTATGCAGCTTGTTATATATACATATGTATATATATATATATATACGTCCTGCTCATCATTACAGCCCCTCCGCCCACCACCCGAGGAGGACCTGGAGGAGGAGTCCAAGAGGAGCAGGGAGAGCGGGGGTGGGGAGGAGGCCACACCTAAGTAATCGTCCGAGCGCGCCAGCGACTAGGGAGAGGCCAGGGCCAGGGCAGGGGAACGAGACGAGCGTGTGCGGCTCGACGAGCAGAGCGGCCCACGAGCGAACGGAGGCCAAGGGGACGGGGCAGGACGGAGCCGGCACGCAGCAGGCATCCTCCCGAAGCCGACGCACGGGGCATTCCCATCCCAGAACCCCTCAGACCATGAACAAGTCACGACAAAAGGTTGTTTTAACATTTTTTTTAAGTCACGACACAAAGTTGTTCACCATTGTCGGCCTTTGGGGACCCTCACCGGGCCTCGGGACCGTCAAAAGCAGTTCAGGATGAAAAACCGGTCCAGGGGAGTGGGTCGAGACCCTTGGGGGTCGACGTTATGAAAGAGTCATGACGCCGTGGTCTGCATGGGTTGCAGGCAGCCTTCTTGAAACCATCGCACAGGGCTGTCTCATACAGGAGGAGGAGGAGGAGGAGGAGGAGGAGGAGGAGGAGGAGGAGGAGCGAGCACGCTCGTGGAGGAAAGAACAAACAACAAAAATCGGGAGTTTGCTCTCGGAGGAAGAGGAGGAGGAGGAGGACGAGGCGGAGGAGGAGGAGGAGGAGGAGGAGGAGGAGGATCAGGAGGAGAAGGAGGAGAAGGAGGAGAAGGACGAGGAGGAGTTGCGCCAGCCTCGTAGGACAGCCTCCCGGGCGGGAACAGCCCCGAATGGGGCCCCGGCTTCGTGGAGAAGGACCTGCAGAGCGCGCGCAGCTCGAGTGCCAGGGCGGTCTGCCTGCCGTGCCCCATCTCTCTTGCCCGCCCTCGCCCCCCTGCAGGGCGCCCCCCGAGGAGAGCCCCAGCCAGGACGCAGCACGAAGCACCGCTCTGGGCCCACGAGGGCAGGGGTTTCCAATCTGCACGAACGAGATGGGCACGGAAAGAATGGGTACAATGCTCAACAAAGGTTCCTGTTCATTTTGAACTGGACTCGCTGTCCGCGCTGCCGCGGCCTGTGTCCATTTGAGACAGGAGGCCGCCTGCCCAACAGCGGCCGCTGTCGGTTTGGGACAACCTTTGTTGTTGGGCATTGTGTCCACTCTTTCCGTACCCAGTTCGGGCGTCCGAATCCAAGCCTGGCCCCTGAGGGATGGCGGGTCGAGAAGGGCTTGGTGGAACAGCGAGATCAGTCCAACGAAAGCCTGGGCTTGCCCAGGCAGGAGGCCCCCCCCCCGGCGTCCTGAGAAATACCCTGCTGGCCAGCTTGTGTGGTATCCGGTAAATCTTCTGCACGAACGAAATGGGCACGGAAAGACTGGGCACAATGCCCAACAGCAGTTCCTCTTCATTGTGAACAGGACTCCCGCCGCGGCCTGTGTCCGTTTGAGACAGGAGGCCGCCTGCCCAACAGCGGCCGCTGTCGGTTTGGGACAACTTTTGTTGTTGGGCATTGTGTCCACTCTTTCCGTGCCCATTTCGGGCGTCCAAAAATCTGTGGGCCCGCCGTGCGAGAAACGTTCGAACGTGGTATCGAAAGCACCGTGACCCGACTTGTTGAAATTGAGCAGGCGATGGACCGACACCCTTGGCCGCTCCATGTCACGTGGGTGATGAGCCTCTCTACGCAAGCCGCCACATGCAAACTTTCCCAGAGGGGCCTCAAGGTGTGAAGGATGCACCGAATCGGGCGGAAGTACGCATGCAAGCTTCCCGCTGGGGCCGTAGGTAGAGCTCTCTACAGGGCAATAAGCAGGGCCACGATCATCGTGAGGGGTGCGTCGAAATGGGCGGCGCCGCCATGCGGACCCTGCTACGTGAGCCGTACGTGGAGCTCCCTGTGACGGCACGATCATGCGCCAAGGTTGGCGGCGCCGCCATGCGGAACGTCCAGCTCCCTATGAGGCCACGGCCCTCGTGAGGGGTGTGCCGAAGAAATGGGCGACGCCGCCATGCGGACCCTGCCGCTGGGGCCGCAAGTGGAGCGCTTTACGGGGTCACGTTTCGCGTAAAAAGGATGTGCCACATTGGGGGCGCACACGCCCCGCGTCGGCGCCCATTGAGACCGCACGTGGAGAATCCGATGGGGCCACAAAGCGTGTGAGGGGTGTGCTGAGTTGGAGGCGCTTGCGCCATACGTCGACGTCCACTCCGACCATTGGTGGAGCTCCTTTTGATACCACTACTGGGATGACCGTGGGGGGTTCTAAGTGAACAGGGGCGGTACAAGTGGATGCCAAGGTGGGTTATATCTGGCCAGCCTGGCTTACAAGTGGGTTACAAGTGCCCTGAGTGGCTCAGGGGTGTTAACGATCCAGGCTAAGTGGGCTTCGCCCACTTGGCGGCGTTATCGAACACCCCTAAGCCACTCGGGGCACATGTAACCCACTTATAAGCCAGGCTGGGCCAGATAGAACCTACCCTAGCATCCACTTGTAACCGCCCTGTCCACTTTGGAAACCGCCACAGTCATCCTAGTAAGCGTGCGCGGGGTGTGCCGAATCGAGGGTGCGTGTGCCCCCCATGGGGCCACGGTCCTCGTGAGGGGTGTGCCGAAGTGGGGGCCCCGTGCGCCATACGTCAGCGCCAACTGAGACCGCACGTGAAGTTCGATATGGGGCCACGACGCGTGCCAGGGATGTGCCGAAGTGAGTGCGCGTATGCCATACGCCAGCGCCCACTGCGACCGTATGTGTACCGCCCGGTAGGGGCTACGAAAGTGTTGATGGGGCGTGCCGACACGCCAGCGCGCACGCCATGCGTCGGCTCCCATCGAGACCATACGGCGGGGGCGTTCGTTAAGGAATGTGCCCAGGAGGCTTCGGACCCCCGAGGAGTCCTTATCCGATGATGTCGGCGGTGATATCCGTGGCCAATCCACGATCGGAGCTCCACTGGCTTCCAGACCCTCGATTCCTCATCCAATGGTTCCTCATCCGATGCCCTCACCGTACAGTGCCGTTTTTAATACATGCTCCGCGTGCGGATCATGTATTAAAAATGTAGGGACTTAGTTTTAAAAACAACGATGAGTTCATGCATACATTGATTCATTAATTAATCAGGTATTAAGAATCCGATATGTGTCAAAACATCCTATGTATTAAAGACTGCCCTGTGCTTGGAGGGGCTGCGGGGCGCGTGATGGGTGCGCCGATCGACGCGGGCACGCGGAGAGCGGAGGGCGAGGGCCAAGCTCACACACAGTGGGGGCGCGCAGCAAGGAGCCGTGTGCCTTTCGTCAGGGTGTCTCCTGGGTCTGGACGAGGAGGAGGATGAGGAGGACGAGGAGGAGGAGGAGGAGGACGAGGAGGAGGACGAGGAGGAGGACGAGGAGGACGAGGAGGAGGAGGAGGAGGAGGAGGAGGAGGAGGAGGAGGAGGAGGAGGAGGAGGAGGAGGAGGAAGGGGAGGAGGAGGAGGAGGAGGGAGCTGCTGCGTTCCGGGTGCGCCGGGTCTCTCCCTCTCGGGTGCAACTCGCGCGCGGGTTCTCGGGGTTGGGTTTCTTGCGGGGGGTTCTTGCGGCCGCGCCCGCTCTGTAGGGCGGCGGTGGAGAAACAGCACGTCCCTGGTTTGGATACTGACCTTTCTTTGTGATGCTGCCGCCGGCAGCTCTGCCGTCAATCTGGCGGCAGCCGCTGCCATCGCTGCTTATGCCGTCGTCGTTTTCCTTCTTTCGCCGGCGCTTGTCGCGCGGCCGCGCCGTCGGCATTTGCACTCTCGTTGGCATGGCCTCCAGTGCCTCGCAAGGAGAATATTGACGAGCGCAGTGCTATCACCATCGGGTCTGGGGAAGTCTCATTCTGTCTTTGCACTCGTCGCTGTCAGCACCATCTGTTTGGGGGGCCTTTCCTTTTCTGGACTTTGCGCCCGTCATTGCAGCTCTCCATCCGTGCTCCTCTGCATGTGTGATCGGCGCTTGGTTACGACTCAGCCGATTGCGTTACAGTAATCTGGCCTTGAGCCATGACTTCGTGATGGAATCAAAACGAGCCTGCAAGCGCCTGCATGCGCATCGCAGCTACCTTGTGATCCCATGCGTGCCTCGTCGAGGCCTCCACGCTTTGGCCAGAGCCGTACAAGGTCGTCCCCTCTCCGAGGCATTTCGTGTGATGCTCTCGGAGGACGAGGGTGAGGAGAAGAGTCAGGAGGAGGAAGAGGAGCCAATCCATGTACTCCCTGTCCCCAGCGTGCCCCTTATCTCCGGTCCACTCCCCCCGCCCCGAGCCCCCGGGAAGAGTCCCTGTGGGCCCCACTCCCTTCCCTGTGGCACTGGGGCCCATCCACCTTGAGAGATTCGGCGCCTGAGCCGCAGAAGCGAGCGGCCCGCCCAGTTAATGGGACGCCTCCATTCATGTAGGTCGGCCATTGTAGAGGCCTGGACATCACCATCAGCACCCTGACCGTGCCTTCCTCGATGGATGTGCCCCCTAGACTATGATGCGTTAGCCTCTGAGGGTCTGGAGGAGGCAGGAGGGACCCCCCGCTCCGCGAACTGAGCGGACTTCATGCGAGCATCCCCAGTGCTGGGGGGACTCGGCAGGCTGACCCTGGTGGACTGATCCCCCCTTCCTCCTCGAGACCCTCGACCACTGGCCCCCCCCCCCCCCCCGGATCCTCGTCGTCCTTCTCATCATGTCTCTTTCCGCCTCCTCATCATCTTTGTCCTGGTCCCCCCCGCAATTTCAATCTTGCGCAGGTGGTTCTGGAAGGCGGCATCACCTATGAGGGCTCCTGGCTGCCTGACGCAGACGACAGGGGCGGCTGGACCACTGCTCAGATCGCCTGGGCCGGCCGAGTCAAGCACGGACAGGGCACTCTGGCGCACCCGGACGGGCAGCGCTACTGTGGCCAGTTCAAGTACGACCAGAAGTCTGGTTACGGAACCCAGACGTACCCCAGCGGCTCCACGTACAGCGGGCAGTGGGCAGACGACCTGCAGAACGGCCACGGCACCGAAAACTGGGCCGACGGCTCCGCGTTCGAAGGCCAGTTCCGTGCCGGCGAGAAGCACGGCTGGGGCCGCTTCATGTGGGGCAACGGCTGCCTGTACGAGGGCGAATTCGTGCGCAACGACATGCACGGGGAGGGCTCCTACGCTTGGAGCGACGGGAGGATTGATGGGCCTGTTTTCCACTGCCACCACCACTAGAAGTTGGAGGGTGAGGGGGTCCTCCTGCTCCTCCTCCTCCTCCTCCTCCTCCTCCTCCTCCTCTTCCTCCTCCTCCTCCTCCTCCTCCTCCTCCTCCCTCCTCGTCCTCCTCCTCCACCCCTCCAACTTATTGTGGTGGTGGTGGTGGAACACAGGCCCATGAAGGATGTTCTGCGGGCAGTGGTCCCGCAACTACATGGGGCCCTCCGGCTCCATGCAGTGGCCCGACGGCCGCGTCTACGAGGGCGACTTCCTGGAGGGCCGGAAGCACGGGGAGGGCACCCACTGGTGGCCGGACGGCCGCTCGTACGTGGGGCAGTGGCGAGAGGGCAAGCAGCACGGCATCGGCGTGGCCCGCGCCATGAAGGGCATGGAGATCGAAGAAGAAAACACGGCATGATCATAAGCTTGTCGGGGCCCGCGCGGATGTCTTGGATCGGCGCTGCTCCACCCTTGGCGGCGCCTCTGGCGCCGCCCCTGGCGTGCTCTGAGCTCCAGGGAGGATGTTCCAGTGCCGATCCATGAAATCCGCGCGGGTCTTCCGCTAGCAGCCTGAAACACATCCCCCTTCCTTGTGGCATCACCTTGGAACGGTGTCGATCTTAAGGGTTCCTTCCAGTGTTCTGCACGGTCATTTCCCAGACGGGCCATCATCGTGGGCTGCTCGATCTGAGGGAGAGGGATCAGTTCGAGGCTGGTTACTCCGAACGTTTGTGCTTATGCACTGCCTGACCATAAAGCTGTGTAGCTTGGTGTTGGCCATCGTTGTTGTGTCCACGTTTCGTCTGTCGTTGTTGTGTCGTGTTGTTCGTCGCTGTTGTTTGCAACTCGTTTGAAGACAACATTTGTTTGGCGCAATGCTACTTGTTCGTTTCCTTGGGATGCATGGTTGCGTATACATTGTTGCGTTTCGATGTTTGTTTTGTTTGTTGATTGCTCGCTTCGCTTCGTTAGCGCCCACTAGCGCCCAAATACCAACTAGTCACCAAAAGCGCCCAACAGAACCATGTGAGGGAGATGCATTCTGCCCGCTTGGGCGCGCCATTGGGCACGCTATTGGGGCGACCAAGCGCTTATGTTAGTTACTGTCTGAGTGAATGCTCATGCCGTTTTGGCTTGTGCCAGAAGCCATCATCGTCGGAACCATCCCCACCTCCTCCAGGGCAGGGCAGGTTGGCTCTCCCAGCGTACCCCCTCTGGGCGGGCATTGGGCGCTCCGAGACCCGACGGGGACGGCACCCATCCCCACCCAGAGGGGGCAGACTGCCCCGCGGCGCCGCGGTGTCCCTTTGGCCGGGGTGGGGCCATTCCTGTTCTCCTCGGAGGAGAACCGAGCCCGGTGGGAGAACGGCAAGTTCATCGAGTGGCTCGACCAGCCCGCAGCCTCCGACGCGGCCGACGCGGGCGGCCGCCCCCGCTCCGGCGGCGGCGGCGGGGCCGCCGGGCCAAAGGGGCTGGCGGTGCCCGAGCTGGACGACTGAGCGCGCGGCGCCCTCGGGTCTCCGCCCGCCCTGCCTCGCTGCGCCGTGCAGGGCCTGCGGTTGGAGGAGGAAGAGGCACCGATGCTCACCAGCTTGAAGCATGTCCCTTTATCTCCCTGTGTCTGACATCACCTCGCCTCGATGCCGGTCTTGAGGGTTCCCTCGGTTTCCGAGGGCCCATCCCTAAGTAAGATTGTCCTCGCTTTCTGCTCGCCCATCTTGGGGATAGGGATACGTTCGAGGCTGGTTAGATACCGCTACCCCTTGCCTCGTTTTCCCGTCTTGGGGGGGGGGGGGGCCGCCCGTCGGAGAGGCGTAAGACTCGAGTAGGCCGCATCTCGGGCTCGCCGACGCTTGTTGACGAGGGCGTCCTGGGTTTTGACGGTGCAGCTTCCCGGGGGAGGTTTCCAGCGGGAACTTGCATCGAATGTCAGACTGGGTCTCGCCGTACAGTGGGGACCCATGCCAAGAAACACCCTGCCTGCCTCCAGGATGCCCTGGGGTTCTTGAGGTTCGATGGTTTGCCAAGGAAGGCGTGACGTCCCAAGCCAAAAATCAAGGGACGTCCTGGGGTCTCAGGGTTGGGTTTCTTGCGGAAGGTTTCTTGTGGACGGGCATTCGCTGTATTCATGATGACCCTGGCAGTCCAGCCCGAGTCCCCCAAGCCCGAGTCGCACGTCTCCCCAATCCTAGGAGGCCCTCGCAGCCACCCCAGAATTCGCCTCGGAATCCTGGTCAGATCAGAACGCGCCCCCGAGGCCCGGGGAGTAGTACAGTAGGAGCTCGACCACAAGAAACCTTCCACAAGAAACCCAACACTGAGACCCCAGGAAGTCCGTTGATTTTCGTGTGGGGACGTCACGCTTGTCATAGCAACATCGTCGAACCCGAAGGAACCCAGGGCACTGGAGGCAAGCAGGGTGTTTCTTGGCATGGGTTTCCACTGTAGTATCGGTACCTTTTGGTTTCCTCTGAAGGCCTGCAGTGCTGAGCCTCCGGCGCCACTCCAGGCCTCCCAGGAGGGGGCCCAGGCAGATGCTGTCGGAGGATCGCGCCGCGCCGCCGATGCGTCGGCGGCACGGGTCGATGTGGAGCCCGATGTATTCTGCACGCCGACGGTCCCGAGGCATCGCCGACGCCGCCGTCGCCGATGCATCCACGGTGCGGCGCGATCCTGTTACCCCATCTCCTCGGATCCCCGCGGGGAGGCCTCTGGCCACGGGGTGCCGAGCAAGAGCAGCGGGCGCCGGTGCGCAAGGAAAAATGGGAGAGCAGCGGCGCGCCCAAAGCTCCGGCGACGTGATCTCTGGTCCATCCGGGCGCTTTTGCTCGAGTTCGGCCTCTGCTGGGATGACCGTGGGGGGTTTCTAAGTGGACAGTGGGGGTTACAAGTGGACGCCGAGGTGGATTACAGTCGGGGCCCTGAAGAAGGAACCCTTTTGGTTGGGGAGGGGCTCCGCGTTCCTTCAGTGTTTCACAGCTTGTCTCAGGCTTTCCATATGTTTTCGATAGGAGATCGAAGTTTAACTTATGGAAAAAAGGGGCCTCGTTCTTTATTTAGGGTTCCTTAGGTCAACGCCCCGACTGTATAGCTGACCCAACCTGGCTTATAAGTGGGTTGCAACTTCCCTGAGTGGCTCATGGGGCCTAGATAGCTCCGCCAAGTGGGCGGAGCCCACTTGGCCTGGCACGTTAAACCCCCCTGAGCCACTCGGAGCACCTTTGACCCACTTATAAGCCGGGTCGGCCACCTTGGCATCCACTTGTAACCTCGCTGTCCACTTGGCATCCACTTGGCATTCACTTGTAACCTCGCTGTCCTGTGACCCCCTATAACCCACCTTGGCATCCACTTGTAACCTCGCTGTCCACTTGGAACCCCCCACGGGCATCCATCCCGGCAGCGGCGCGCCCAGATCTCCGGCGACATGATTTCTGCTCCCTCCGGGCGTCTCTGCTCGAGTTGGGCCTCTGAGGCGATGGTCGGGCCCCGGGGCCATCAACACTGGATCCAGGGTGCACAGGAGGAGGAGAGAGGGAGGCGGAGGAGGAGGAGGAGGAGGAGGAGGAGGAGGAGGAGGAGGAGGAGGAGGAGAACGAGCGATGCTTGAGGTGTTCGGCCTAGCAGTGCGATATTGGAGGTTTCCTTCAGGCAGTCCCTTCCTGATGCGCGGCCACCAGCTGTTTCATTCAGATCTTGAAGATGACGTGGTCCGCTCTACGCACATGCTCGATTCTGGGATTCCGGTTTGGCCTCGCGCTCCGAGTGGGCGCACGGTCCAGGCAGAAAGAACAACGACGGCCACCGACTCGACGGTGAACGGCGAGGGCGAGGACGACGGCTGACCGTGTGCAGGCACGACGGACGACGACGTCGGCTTGCGACATCCGCAAGCGCACTCTTGGCGGGGCGGCGGGGCCGCTTGCGGTTTCACAAGAGGTGAAGGGGGAGGGGACTCAGGGTTTGAGGGGAGAGGAGGGGGAGGGGAAGCGGGAAGACAGGGGGGCGGTGGAGGCGTCCGGGGCAGCTCGTGCAAGCACGTAGGTCCTCCACGGGTCGGCGCCCTGCTCGGCCTGGGCAAGGGAGCGTGGTCCTGGAACGCCCCTGGCCGGAAGCAGCTCGGCCTGGGAGGCGGAGGATGGGCGGGAAGTCGTCTCTTCTACAGCTCGGTCGGCAGCCGGCCCGACCTCCCAGTCACGAGGCCTCGCCGCTGCAGCGTGGACGTCCAGAAGCCGGCCAGGGCTGCTCGGCCAGTGGTCCTCTCGGTCGAAGCCTCCGCCGCGGCTCGCAGGGGCTGGAGTCGGAGCGCAAGCGCCCCCGCCGAAGAGTTGCGGCCCTGAGGCGGGCCAGCACCAGTGCCGCTTGCCTGCGCCTCTGCGCACTGCCCGGTGGGCTGCGAGCCTGCCCTTGTCCAGCGTCGGCGGCGCGCCCAGGGGAGGCGATGGGCCTTGCCAGAAGTCTCACAATCGAAGAAGCAACAGCACCATAAACATGAACACTTCTGGCGCTCCGCGCGGACTTCTTGGATCCGCTCTGGATTCCCCCTGGCGGCGCCTCGGGCGCCGCCCCTGGCGCGCGGGGCGCGCCAGGGAGGTGTCTCCGGCGCGGATCCAAGGCACATCCGCGCGGAGGGCGTTTTTGCTTGCCTGCCTGCTTCCACGGAAGGCCTTCGGCCTTCCGAACAGCCTGTTGAGCCTTCTCCGAGGCCCCGCCGCCGTCTGCGGGGGCCTGCCTCCTGCTTTTCCTTCCTCCCGCGGCGCGCCGCCGGCCAGCAGCGCCCGCAGACCACCAGCAGCGCCCTGCCCCGGCGTGGCGCAGGCCGCCGCGCCGGGTGGCGTCCGCCTCACGACGGCGACGCGCTGCACGGGGCAGCCCAGGCGCTCCTGCGGGCAACGCTTCTCTGTCCACATCCATTGCAGGATGGGGTGTCGGGCTCCCTTCCCCAGAACCCCGAGGCGCCCCCAGCGTGGTGCAGGTCGCCCCGCAGGGTGGCATCCGCCTCATCCGCCTCACGACGGCGCCGCGCTGCACGGGGCAGCCCAGGCGCTCCCACTCCTTCGGCAGGCGGCAGCGCCGGCGCCGCGACGTCACAATGGAGAGCAGGAGGACGGGGAAGAGGAGGAGAGCGGCGAGGAGGATCCTGGTCCTGCTGTTGACTGACCTGTGGCCTTAAGACGCAGCGGTCCCCCCTCCAACGTCTGCGCAATGGCAAGAATTGACGAAGAGGAGAAGGAGGAGGAAGAGGAGCAGGAGGAAGAGGAGGAGGAGGAGGACGACGACGACGACAACGACGTCGACAATGAGGTGAGTGTGGAAGATGAGGTGTAGGGCAGCCATGAGCTACATGTGCAGAGATGACGGAGGCAGGAGATGCATGTTACAACGGAGGGGGTCTCCCCCCCTCTTCTCATGCCCGCAGGTTCAAGCTCACGGTCCTCGGGACCTGCGACCTCGAAATAGACGGCAAATCGTTGCTCAGCTTGCGCAACTCCCCGACGGAGGCCCCGCGAGCGGGCGGAGGAGTGAGGCCTGTGGGCGCTTGGCACGCCAGCGGAGGAAACATGCCGACTCCGCCACCCCCGTCCTCCCAAGCCCCCCACCGCGTCTGACACTTGCGCCTCCCCAGAGCACCCCTCGGGACGTCGTCTCTTGGAACTCCCCACCCGCTCATGCTCAGCCCCGAGCGGACCTACGCCCCCCACCACGTCGACATCCGCGCCCTCCCCAGAGCACCCGTCGGGACCTCGGCTCTTGGGCCCTCGCGCCCGAACAGAAAACAGCCGAGGCAGGAACCATTGGGCGACTGCTCGGAGGCCGGCGCGGGCTTCTTGCATCGAGCGCGCCAGGAGGCTGCGCGCGGGGGCGCCGCCCGCGGGGCCCGGCGCCGACCCGAGAAGCTCGCGCGGAGCTCCGACAGCTCATGCTTGTGCGGTTTGGGTTCCTCCGAGCGCACCGGCTCCGACACGCCCAGGCCCCCCCGGGTCATGGACAATTCACAATGGAAGGTCTGTCACCATCTGCGGCCTCTGGGGGCGGGCCAGGGACCGTAATTAAGGGGAACGACTCTCAGCCACGCGCAGACGGGGGTAGGGGTAGGGGGAGGGCTCTTTAGAGGCACCCCTGCTTCTGAGAAGGCGCGGGCCTTATCTATAGATGTGAGGCCGGCGCCCTCGAAGCAGCAGCCTCCTTCTAAGAAGCCCTCCCCCTCCCTCCACCCCCTTGTGCGCACGGCCAAGACTCGGGATAAAAAAACCGTTCCCAGGAACTGGGTCGAGACCTCTGGGAGTCGACGTCACGCAAGAATCATCACGTCGGGGGTCTGGGCTGTGGTGCCCCTCCCCCACTGACTGCCCGAAAGTGTGTGTGGGGGGGGGGGCGTCTTCCTGCAGTCCCAGTCTGATGGGGCAGTTCTCTCTGCCCCTCCCTCGTCTTCCCCCCCTTCGGGGCCTTGTACAGGGGCGTTTGGGGGCCTCGCCGCCACGCCCGGACTCGCCCTGGAGTCCTCGTCAGACTGGGGGTGACCTGGGGGCCGGCGGCATCGGCATCTCCAGCGGCACGCCGGAGAGACTTCGGCGCCGGAGTGGCACGTGGTGCGCGGCCATTCTCGGGTGTGGCTAGAAGTACCCCTGGCCCAAGGTACCCCCAGGATTCTCGGGGCGGCCCAGGCGGCCTCCAGAGCACCCCTCACGAGGCCTGGAGGGCCCCAGGGGCTCCAAACTGGGGCGCAAGCTGGGGGCACTTCTAGCAACACCCGACGGGGGGGCGGTGTGCGCGAGGGGGCCCGAGCTGAGCGCGCAGGCCGCTGCGGCCGCACCGCATGTGGCGGTGAGGGTCGGTGGGCCGCGCGCGCCAGAGGTCACCGATGCCCCGGGCCACTCCTGCGTGTCGCCGGTGCCTCGTTTTTTTCCCCCCATGGTTCAGTCGGGCTTGTCCCTCTGCAGGAGGAACAGTCAAAATTAGTGAGAACATGGTGCGGGGACGATTTCGCAACGGTGTTTTTGCCCCTTTTGGGCATACTTTTTGAGTATCTTTCTGCGTCTCGTCCCAAATCCCCCTGCAGGGGGACATGCCCGACCCAGCCCGATGGTGGCACGGGTCCGCGTGCGGTCGGCCGAGCGCGGGGCCCCAGGGTCAGGAGGGAAAAAACACACAGACACAACTAATCGTGGATTCCCAAGAAAATGTTGGAAAATGTGCGAAGTGGGGGGGGAGACAAAAACCCAGAAATGACCTACTTAGGAGGAGGGCGAAGCCTTTCGGATAAGTGTCGATCTGACGCCTGATTGCGCCAGCTGGTGCTACAGAAGCGCACGTGTCATGGCCTGGGGGTCCGCGTATGCGGGCAGTGCGGTGCGCAACCTCCTGTGATTGATCCCGCTCCGGATTGGAAGTAGCACTGGAGAAGCATGATCTGTGCAGCAGGAGGCTAGCGCTGGGTAGTCAGTGAGTGGGTGCGCAGGGGTGTGTGAGGGAGAGAGAGGGAGCGAGAGAGTGAGAGTGAGAGTTAGTGAGAGAGAGAGAGAAAGAAAGAGAGTAAATTGTCGCAGGCTCCGCATCCCAACTGATGCGCGGGTCTGCGTACTGATGCCGATATGTCTTGTGATTCGCGCGGCCGGCATCCCAACTGATGTCCGCGTCGTGTTCCTTATTGGGCACCGAGCCCGTTCTTTGCGCAAGCGGCCCACTCCCGTGCATCCCAACTGATGCTCGGGGGTCGAGTCGGGCTCGGGGTGTCGCGTCCCCGCGCTGCTGATGTGCTCGGCCCGCCTGCAACCCGTCCAGGACGTGTTCGTTCAAACGCCGACATTGTCGTCCGCTGCATCGTCTTCTCGCGAGGTTCTCTATGTCAAGGCCCAAGACATTCTTGAGGCCGGTTGGGAACCTTCGACCAAGCAGACCTACGCGAACGCCATCAGGCTTCACGTGCACGGTCTGGAACGCATTGTCACCTTCCTTCCAGTAGATTCGGTTGATAAATTAATGTTGCTGTTCACTGGAATGGACGGAATGTCTTGGTCTAGCACTCAGCTTAACAAGGCTGCAATTCGTGCCTGGCATATGTGTCGGGGCCTCGACTGCGTGTTCGACGCCTGCTGGGACCAGCGTGCGTGCCATTTCTGGAGGGGGCTCAAAAAGAGAGCGAGACACGACAGCCACCAAAAGAAAGCAATTTCTATTGACGAGCTTCTGTCTTTCATCCGAGCCCGCCTCGCCACAGGGTCTGCCGCGGGGGCCCGGGACTGCGCGTTTGCAGTCTTCTGTTTCTTCGGCATTCGGAGAGTATCAGAAGCTTCTGCTCTCCTGGCCGCAGACGTGAAATTTGAGTCCGAATGCGCCCGGTGCTTCATCCGGCGTCAGAAAAACGACCCGGAAGGCAGAGGGCAAACGTGCGTGATCCCAAATTGTGATTTCGCTGGAATCAACCCCGCCCGCCTCATGGAAACGTGGTCGACTCTCAGGAGAGAGATGCCTCCGGAGCCGCTGGTTTTCTTCTGCACGACAACTGGCGCATCGCATAAGGCAGTGAGTCCCGATTTATGGAGAAAACCAGTTTCTCTGTTTTTCAAGGACAAAGCAACGAGCACGCACTCATTCCGCAAAGGCGGCGCACAATGGAGCTTGCACGTGGCCAAAACGCCGCCCAGAGCGGTGCAGGACCAAGGCGGCTGGCATTCCTCATCTGTGATGCACGACGTGTATGCCGCTGCGTCGCCGGAGTTGGCGCGGCAACAGTTCCTGGCCGCGGCGAGGGCCGTGGCGGGCGCTCCGCCGGCCGCGTCGCATGCCATCGTGGCCACGCAGGCCGCCCCGCCGACTGGTCCTGGCAAATCGCCAAGCGCAGTTCGGCCCTCGTCGCCACTGGAGGGGCCAAAGAAGTTCCGCCGGCTGCGTGGCAAACAGAAAGCCGAGATTCCCCTATGAGGGCTCCTCGGCAGCATCTGCCAACGAACCAGGAGCGTTTCTTGGTACGGTAGCACAGAGGTCCCCGCCTGGTTTCTTCCTTTCGTCTCGCGTTCCCACCCTTCCATTTTCGCATGCACACACGCTAAGCGGCCATTCTGGCCCTCGCTGCGCGACCCGCCCGCCGCCCACCTGGACCGGCAGCCTCGGGGGGAGTTTGGGCTCGAAGGGGTTCCCTTGCCGCGAAGCTGGGGGGCTTCCCTGCCAGGAGGGCTGGACAGAGATCTCCCCCTGATGCTGGGGCAAAGCATCTAGGCTGGGATTGACCTACTTAGGAGGAGGGCGAAGCCTTTCGGATAAGTGTCGATCTGACGCCTGATTGCGCCAGCTGGTGCTACAGAAGCGCACGTGTCATGGCCTGGGGGTCCGCGTATGCGGGCAGTGCGGTGCGCAACCTCCTGTGATTGATCCCGCTCCGGATTGGAAGTAGCACTGGAGAAGCATGATCTGTGCAGCAGGAGGCTAGCGCTGGGTAGTCAGTGAGTGGGTGCGCAGGGGTGTGTGAGGGAGAGAGAGGGAGCGAGAGAGTGAGAGTGAGAGAGAGAGAAAGAAAGAAAGAAACAGAGTAAATTGTCGCAGGCTCCGCATCCCAACTGATGCGCGGGTCTGCGTACTGATGCCGATATGTCTTGTGATTCGCGCGGCCGGCATCCCAACTGATGTCCGCGTCGTGTTCCTTATTGGGCACCGAGCCCGTTCTTTGCGCAAGCGGCCCACTCCCGTGCATCCCAACTGATGCTCCGGGGTCGAGTCGGGCTCGGGGTGTCACGTCCCCGCGCTGCTGATGTGCTCGGCCCGCACAAACAGGTATTACTGATCATTTTTCCTCCCTCCCGCCCAACTGCGGGCGGTGCCCGCGCCACACTGTGCTCGTTCTTCATTCATCCGCCCTCCCGCCCAATTGCGGCTGGGCCACGCGCTCGTTCGGTCCCCGGCCCCCGAGGCACATCGCCAGCACGGAGTAAGGGGGTTCCCTTGCCGCGAAGCTGGGGGGCTTCCCTGCCAGGAGGGCTGGACAGAGATCTCCCCCTGATGCTGGGGCAAAGCATCTAGGCTGGGATATAGGGGAACTGCGGAATATTTTTATCAGCGTGTATTTATTTGTGTGTCCTGGGGCCCCTGCACAGGGCCGCGAGCGCGGTCGGCCGAGCGCGGGGCCCCAGGGCCACGGGTGCGGTGCCCGAGGGCCCCACACGTGGCCGTCGGGCGTGTCCACTGCGGGGGCGGGGCAGCTGCGCACTGGTGGGCAGAGGCTCGGGCCGGACGAAAGGGGGGGATCGGGGAAGGGGGGCTTACGAAATCTGCTGCATGCAGCTGGTTTCGGCCTCACCGAGGGGCCCATTCCTCGATACATCGCCGCCTCCGGCGCCGGGAGGTGCGGGGAAAATCAGCTCCAAGAGCTGATTCTCACCCCCCCCCTTTGCTATCCCCCCCCTTTCGCCCGACCCGAGAGGTGAGCACTTGGAGTACCCACGCCACGAAGCAGGTGCCTCGCAAAGATGGCCTCGTCGCGGCAGGCGCGTCAGGCAGGTCCTCGCGCAGTCGAGTGGATTCGACCATCTCCGAGGCGGGAGCTCGGTCCGAGCGCCCTCGTAGTGTCGGTCGTTGATTTTTCGGGAGGGGTGGGGCTGGACCTTCTCGGGCGAGACATCGATCGCTGACGTGGTTCGAGCCAGTCTTTGGGATCGTCGACATCGTGTCGTGGATTGGAGCGAAAGCAGCTGAAGCGCATGACTTCCGCGTGCGCCTCATTGGCCTTCCCACTCCCGAGCGCAGCATGGCGTGCCACCAAGCGCGTTGTGAGCTGCGCTGGTGCGGGCGGGCGGGAGGACTTCACTCCGGGGCGGCGGAGATCGGCGCAGACGCGAGTTCGGGGGCAACAAGATGCAACCTACTACCGCGTGAGGAGGAGGAGGAGGAGGAGGAGGAGGAGGAGGAGGAGGAGGAGGAGGAGGAGGAGGCAGGAGGAGGAGCAGGAGCAGGAGCAGGAGCAGGAGCAGGAGCAGGAGCAGGAGCAGGAGGAGGAGCAGGAGCAGGAGCAGGAGGAGGAGGAGGAGCAGGAGCAGGAGGAGGCACGCCGTCGCAGCCCCCAGCAGTTTCAGAAGGCGGCGGGGGGGGGGGGGCGGGGGGGACAATCCCATGCAAGTTAATTTGCTCGAACTCCGTCAAAAACGCGCTCACAGCGCCCGAACACCTCCTCCCCCGACCCCTCGAACACCAAGGGCAGACACCTGGGCAGCTGGCGGCCCCCTTTCCCCCTGAGATCCGACGCTGCCAAAGACCGCTGCCAAACATCACGCCCAGGAACCCTGGACGCCATCTGTCTGCACCACTTTCGAGCCGCATCGAGCTGCGAGGCCCCATAGGGCCCGAGATCGAACGAACACGCCCGCCGTGAGGACATTGCGACGCCAGGATCTCGGGGCCCGCCCCCGAGGCCGCGAGCCACCAGCCCGCCGAGGACACGACGCCGCAGCTGCCGGTGGCCGCGGGCGACCACCAGCTGGCCCCGTGCTCGGGGCGCCTGTCGGTGCTGGCTTTCGGCTGGGCACGTCCTCCTACAGGGGGGGGGGTTGGACGGAAAGTAGTCAAAACAGATTCCAAAACGGTCAAAAATAGTCACACAATCGTCACCGGACTGTTTTTTTGTTTAACCTTTTTGTTTGACATTCCTCCTGTAGAAGGACAGGCCCGACTTGATGCTGGCTCCCAGGGGCCCAGCCGACGCCACCGCAGCCGCTCGTCGTCGTCCGCAGCCGCCGTCGTCGTCAGCGCCGCCGTCGTCGCCGCCGCCGTGGCCGCCGCCGCCGCTGCCAACGCCGCCGCCGCCGCCGTCGTGGTCGCTGCCGTCGTCGCTGCCACTGTCGTTGGAGGAGGAGGAGGAGGAGGAGGAGGAAGAGGAGGAGGAGGAGGAGGAGGAGGACCAGAGTAAACCCAAGAGTCATCAACGACGTTGGCATAAACACTCTCCAAGCTCCCTCTTTATAGTCTCCTAGAAGGGTTCGTTCCCACCGAGGGAACTGCCTCGTTGGAGGAGACTCTGAAGCATGATCAACTTGACTTGTGCGTCTTGACGAGCTTGAATCGTGCCAGATTGTCCTTCCTGGTGGCGCTAAGGCGAGGGCCACATGTTGCAAAGGAACCGCCCTCAATCCGTGAAGCTCTTGCACAGTAAATGGACGAGTGCGCGCAGCGCTAAGGCGAGAGCCACATGTTGAAAAGCATTCGCCCTCAATCCGTGAAGCTCTTGCAATGTTTTAAGCGAATGTGCGCGGCGCTGAGGCGAGAACCAAATCTTGGAGGCCATTCGCTTTCAATCCGGGGAACTCTGGCAAATCTCACAAACGAATGCGCGCGGCGCTAATGCGAGAGTCCCATTTTGAAAACAATCCGCCCTCCATCTGTGAAGCTGTTGCCAATGTTTGAGAATCACGATCGTAAATGGTGAAGCAGTCTCAGGCGAAGCGCCCGGCCCGCCTCAAAAACTGGCCTCGGGGTGCGACAGGGAGAAGTTGTTGATACGGAAAAGGAATGGAGGAGGAGGGAGAGGAGGGTGAGGAGGAGGAGGGGGAGGATGAGGAGGAGGAGGAGGAGGAGGAGGGGGGGGCCCTGAGGGTCCTGATGCTGCGGCCCATGTCTGCGGGCCCTCGCTCGCAGGCGACGCGGCCCCAGCCCATGCCGAGGCAGCCGGGGCCGGGCCCCAATGGGCCCAGCCGAAGAAATCAGCACCGAGCCGCGATGGGTCCAGCAGAGACGATCCCATGGGCTCAGATGCAACGTGCAGGGGGGGCGCATATCAAGGAGCCATCTGCTTTCCGTCAGGGTGTCCCGGGTCTCTGCGCTCCGCGCGCTGCGCGGTGGATTCCCGCAGGCGCTGAAGGAGCCGCTGCGCGCAAGGTGCTCAGGGTGGCACGGTGTCCTTTCGGGTGCACCTCGCGCGCGGGTCTTGAGGGCTGGGTTTCTCGCGAGGGCTTCTTGCGGGCAAGACTGCCCCGATAACGCCCAAGAGGAGGAGGAGGAGGAGGAGGAGGAGGAGGAGGAGGAGGAGGAGGAGGAGGAGGAGGAGGAGGAGGAGGAGGAGGAGGAGGAGGAGGAGAGAGAGCAGGAGGAGGAGGAGGAGGAGGAGGAGGAGGAGGCGGCCGCGCCCGCATCGTGTGCTGCAGAGCACCGGGCGAGAGGGGCCTCCCGTCAGTGGCCAGCGCCCCGAGCCTCCGACCAGGCACGGCCTCGTCGGCGAGCGCGCGCGCGGCGCACACGGCGAGGCGTCCTCGCCCACGTCTTTCCCGCAGCCCTCGTGGGGGCGTGCGGGTGCCCCCGGTGCAGGGGCTCCTCCTCCTCCTCCTCCTCCTCCCTCCTCCTCCTCCTCCTCTCCTCCTCCTCCTCCAACTCCTCCTCCTCCTCCTCCTCCTCCTCCTCCCCCTCCCCCTCCTCCTCCTCCTCCCCACTCCTCCTCCTCCTCCTCCTCCTCCTCCTCCTCCTCCTCCTCCTCCTCCTCCTCCTCCTCCTCCTCCTCCTCCTCCTCCTCCACAACCAGAAGCCAGTTGGAGTTTGCTGACTCGGGCCCTCCAAGCCATCTTGCCTATTGTTTACACCTCTTGGGGTTTGCGCCCATAGTGTGTGCAGGCAGCGTCGGCAGAGTGCTGACACGGTGCAAGGAAGTTCAGGGGCATCGTCGTGAGGGAAAAAAAAAGCCAGTTGGAGTTTGCCAGGGTGCCCCCGGTTTCGTGGTTCCGATGGGCCCCCATCAAGATCTGGGCGATCTTCGAGCGGCACATTGGGGATTCCCACTGCACAGATCGCGGATTTCAGGGCTGGGTTGCCTGCGGAGGTTTCTTGTGGCCGAGCCCCCACTGTACGCCGAGCAAGGAGGACTCTGACACGAGTGGCAGTGTCCGAATGGCCACATTTTGCGAAGCGGCGCGTCCCTCACTAGTTCTCCAATTGTCGGAGGTTGGTAGACCTCCTACCCTGACACGTCGATTAGCGAAGTGGCCGTTTTCGGTTCCCGAGAGGGCGTCGCGGCCGTCATTTTTGCGGATCCAGGTCCGTCGGTTTCGGTTCATCCTCACGGTGTTTCTTGGTGTTCCTCTTTTTCTTCTCTCGCTTGGGGGAACCGGTCATGCCTCTGAGGTCGGGGACGGTCGAGTCGTCCATCTCGCCCACCTGTTCTTGTGAGCCACCGCGAAGCCTTTCCCATCCGTCGGCTCTGTCTTCGCCGCCTCGGCTACTGTCACCTCTGGGACGTCCACCGCCTGCTTCTGGGCGAGGGTCGTCCGCTGGATCTCCACATCGTGGGCCATCTCCGCTTCCTCGAACGGGTTGGTCTCGATGCGGTCGTCTTTCAGCTTGACCTCCTTCTGGGACTGGAGGGTCTGCTGCTGCAGTATGTGTGGAGGCGCATCCGTGTTGCACCTCATGCACATCGCGCGGAACCCGAAGCTCACGAATCGGCACCGCTAGGAGTATTCGGTATGAGGAGGAGGAGGAGGAGGAGGAGGAGGAGGAGGAGGAGGAGGAGGAGGAGGAAGGGGAACAGGGCGACGGGGGAATGTTTCCAGAGGCGTCCTGAGGCTTCCCGAAGGTCCTTCCGAGTTTCCCGGTGGCCTTTCGAGGTGTTCTTCACTGCCCTCCTGTCCTAAAACCTCGCTCCCTCCCTCCTCCTTCCCCTTCATCTTCCTCCGTCGAGATTCTTCTTGCTCCGCCTTGTTCCGCTTCCTTCTCCTGCTTCTCCTCCCCCGTCCGTCCCCCTACTCTTACCCTGCTTGCTTGCTGCTGATGCTGCTGCTGCTCCGCAAGCCGACGTGGCGAGTGTGGTCCAATCTCGACCCTGCGTGGCCGACAGCCCCTCCAAGGCCGTGCAAGCTCGTCGTCGTCGTCCTCCTCCTCCTCGTCCTCCTCCTCCTCCTCCTCCTCGTCCTCCTCCTCCTCCTCCTCGTCCTCCTCCTCCTCCTCCTCCTCGTCCTCCTCTTCATCCTCGTCGTCGTCCTCCTCCTCCTCCTCGTCCTCCTCCTCCGCCTCCTCGTCCTGCTCCTCCTCCTCACCCGCCTCCTCCTCTTCCTTCTCCCACAGACCCTGCTCGGTCGGATGCGCAGGGCGGAGCTGCCCAGTACAGCGGTCCAAACACTGGGGACACACCTCTCGCGAGTGCGACGGGCCTCCGTCGGCCGCGGTGTTGTTGAATTGTTCAAATCATGAATTGTTGTTGTTCCCCCCCCTCGGTGCCCATTCTGAATTGTTCGACTCCCCGGGCTCGCACCCTGTTTTCACAAAGGAAAGTCTTTAGCTTCAGACTGCGCCCCCTGCCCACTGTTTACAACAATACCAGCAACAACACCATATCAACAGTAACGACAACAAACATCGTAAGACTCTTCGCTCTTACCTGCTCGCGTGCCATTCAACACTCATATCCCAAACCATCGATTCACGCCCTCATCGTCCTCGGTCGTGCCCCCCTTGGGGGTGCATCTTCCTTTCCTGGCAAGTCTACTTGGTGCAGCCCCTAAAGCAGTGGAAGAGAGGACGGATGGAAGCGGGAGGGACGAGGATGGGATACGGGAGAGATTCGGAGGAGGGAAGCCAGGAACAGAACACGCGTGGCAGAACCACACGGGCTGATCGGGCGGTTAGATGGACGGGTCGGGAAGGCGGGCCCAAGCAGCCAGGTCGAGCAGGCGGGTTGTTGAAGCGTGTATATTGAATGAATTGCGAGGAGGTCTCGAGTGATAGCGCGATTGCCAAGCAAGTCTATAGAATCCCGTCAGAAAAGCCAGAGCGAGAGCGCGATTCATGAGCGTCGAGGGCGCGGCGTCTGAATACATTGAGAGGAGGTCCCACACGAGAGCGCGCTTCCTGTATACATTTTGAGGAAGTCCTGCGCGCGAGCGCGGTTGCGGAAGAACTGCATCTCGGGGGCCAGGAACTTTGTTTGGTGACCCCAGGTTTTCTTCGACAGAAAAACAAGGTGCGAGTCCCGGGTGAAGCACCTTATTTAAAACAACAAAGTGGTGACTGGAGGGAGGGGGATCCACAATAATTATTTCTAAACATGAGAATTCTATGGCCCCCGCCAAATACTTCTCCACAGTGTATTTGAAAAGCGCGTTGTCGTGCGATATTTCTTCAGAATGTATCCACGAAGCACGCTCTCGCGTAGTAATTCCTCGCAATGTATTACAGCGTCGTGCCCGCGACATTCAGGGTTCACGCTCTCGCTTTTGATCTCCTTACGATTTACTTGGGAATCGCGCTATCGGTCGACACCTCCTTGCGATTCATGTTGGATTGACGCTCCAGCGACCCGTCCGCTCGACCGGGCCGTCTGGCATCGCCCGCCCGCCCTGCTGCCCGTTAGGGCCCGCCCGCCCGACCCGCCCGTTGGTTTTGCCGCTAGTACTCCTGCTCCTACCCCCCTTCCTGTATATCTCTCTCTCGTCCTCCATGCTTCTACCCCCCCTGGGTCTGCACCAATTACGCGTGTCAGGTAATGGATATATAACCCCAAGGGGGTACGATCCAAGAGGAAGAGTGCCGGCATCGATGGTTTACGATATGCTTGTCGAGGGGTACGCTGGCCTGTAAGCGAGCAGTATTAAGATGTATGTTGTTGTTGTTGTTGTTGTTGAACCTTAATTACTAAACAATTATTATTGTTGGACCCCTTATATTCGCCCTGGCGCTCTCGCCGAGGCGCCGGCCGCATTTCCTCTGAAATTGAGGCTCACGCTCAGGCGTTTTGGGGTTCCGCCAAAACCGGCCCCCCAACAACAACAACGCTCCGGCTCGAGACTTCCTCCTTTTTTCCTCGGGCTCGGTGCTCTTGCTCGCCGCCGAGAGCGGCTCCCGGGCCGGACGCCCGGGTCGGCGCCCGAGCCGGCGCCCGGGCGCCGGAAAATCGAGTTCCGAGGCGGCGCCGAAAAAAGGCCATTCCAATACACATTTTTCTTTCGAAAATGCTGAATTTCTGCTTCCGGCGCCCGGGAGGGAGGCCGTCCGGAGCTCGGGCCGGCACCCGGCCCGGCTCCCGGGCCGGACGCCCGGGTCGGCGCCCGAGCTGGCGCCCGGGCGCCAGAAAATCGAGTTTCGAGGCGGCGCCGAAAAAAGGCCATTTCAATACACATTTTTCTTTCGAAAATGTTGAATTTCTGCTTCCGGCGCCCGGGAGGCCGTCCGGGCCGATTCCGGAGCCTGGGCCGGCACCCGGCCCGGCTCCCGGGCCGGACGCCCGGGTCGGCGCCCGAGCCGGCGCCCGGGCGCCGGAAAATCGAGTTCGAGGCGGCGCCGAAAAAAGGCCATTCCAATACACATTTTTCTTTCGAAAATGCTGAATTTCTGCTTCCGGCGCCCGGGAGGCCGTCCGGGCCGATTCCGGAGCTCGGGCCGGCACCCGGCCCGGCTCCCGGGCCGGACGCCTGGGTCGGCGCCCGAGCCGGCGCCCGGGCGCCGGAAAATCGAGTTCCGAGGCGGCGCCGAAAAAACGCCATTCCAATACACATTTTTCTTTCGAAAATGCTGAATTTCTGCTTCCGGCGCCCGAGAGGCCGTCCGTGCCGATTCTGGAGCTCGGGCCGGCACCCGGCTCGGCTCCCGGGCCGGACGCCCGGGTCGGCGCCCGAGCCGGCGCCCGGGCGCCGGAAAATCGAGTTCCGAGGCGGCGCCGAAAAAAGGCCATTCCAATACACATTTTTCTTTCGAAAATGCTGAATTTCTGCTTCCGGCGCCCGGGAAGCCGTCCGGGCCGATTCCGGAGCTCGGGCCGGCACCCGGCCCGGCTCCCGGGCCGGACGCCCGGGTCGGCGCCCGAGCGGCGCCCGGGCGCCGGAAAATCGAGTTCCGAGGCGGCGCCGAAAAAAGCCATTCCAATACACATTTTTCTTTCGAAAATGCTGAATTTCTGCTTCCGGCGCCCGGGAGGCCGTCCGGGCCGATTCCGGAGCTCGGGCCGGCACCCGGCCCGGCCGGCACCCGGCCCGGCTCCCGGGCCGGACGCCCGGGCAGTTCCGATCGCGCCGAAAAGAGGCCATTCCAATACACATTTTTCTTTCGAAAATGCTGAATTTCTGCTTGCGGCGCCCGGGAAGCCGTCCTGGGCCGATTCTGGAGCGGCTTTGGGCCGGACGCCCGAGCCGGCGCCCGTACGTGGTGCTTCTCTGCTTCTGGCGCCTGCGCAGCTTCCCGAGCCGCTTCTGGAACCATATCTGGGCCGGTCCAGCGATAGGTTTCCTGGATGTGCTGAACCATCCAACTTTTTGAGACTTCTGCGTCTCAAGGATAGGGAGAGAAGACATTAAAGGAGGATCAAAAAGCAACGTCGCTATGAACGCTTGGCTGCCACAAGCCAGTTCTACTTACTTGGACTACTACTACCGTTACCACTACTACTAGTGCTACAGCCGCAACAACAATATCATCAACTGCTGCTACTACAACTACTCATCCTTCCTCCCCCTCCTCCCCCTCCCTTCTCCTCCTCCCCCTCCCTATCTCTCTCATCTCCCCCTCCTCTTCCTCTTCCTCTCCCTCTGAGATGCGGGGCATGCGCAAGGCGATTGCGAAGGCGATGTGCCGTCCGAGCTATGGATGTTGAAGTTCCTCGGAAGAGGTGGTGGCTAAACCTTCTTGGGCGGGATATCTGGGTGAGGGAATATCGGATCCCGCATGCCAGAAACATCCCCCATGATGGGGTGTGTTATCCAGATGGATGCATGTGTCATGTGGAAGCATGGCGCATGAGGGTAAAATGATTGTTGTTGTTGTTGTTGTTGTTGTTGTTGTTGTTGCTGTTGTTGTTGGTTGTATTGGGATTTGTTGGGTTGATGGTGCTGTTGTGAGTGTTGCTGTTGATGTTGCTGCCGTTGGTGTTGTCGTTGTTGTTGCTGATGCGTTGTTGTTGCTGATGCTGGTGTTGTTGTTGCTGCTGTTGGTGCTGGTGCTACTGTTGTTGGTGTTGTTGTGATTGTTGTGGCTGCTGTAGTTGTTGTTGTGGTGGTGGTAGTTGTGGTCGATGTTGAGGTAGAGGGGGGCGCAGCACGCGGAGAGGAACGAAACGCAAGAGGGGGCCCAGGAGGACGGTGAGGACGAGAACGAGGAGAAGGAAGACGACGACGATGAGGATGTGGAGGCTGAAGACCAGCACAGGGAGGAGGTGTACCAGGTCGGGGAGACCGCGAGGAGCGGCAGGAGGACGAGGATCAGGAGCAGGGCGAGAGGAGGGCGCGGAGGCGGAAGGGGCGGCTCAACCGAGGTCCTCCGGTACTCCGAGGACCAGGGTGTGGCGGGCATCAAGTTCGAGTACGAGGGGCCCGACAATCACAACCTCATGGGCGTCGTCCCGAGGATCCGGGGGCGCCGCGAGACCAGGCCTCCGTGCGGCTCCAGGGTTGCCTCGAGCGTCGAGCCTGGAGCCCCGGAGCCTCGAGCCCCGAGCCTCGAGCCTCGAGCCTCGAACCTCGAGCCTCGAGCCTCGAGCCTCGAGCCTCGAGCCTCGAGCCTCGAGCCTCGAGCCGCGATCTCCTGCGTTCCGAGAGCTCTCCGGGGGGGCGGCGGCCTTACGGGAGGGGTCGGGGCCCGGGGCGGGCCGCGGCCTCTCTCTCCGCGGAGGCCGGGGCCCGCCCGGGGGGGCGTCGACGCACGTCCTGCGTTCCTCCGGCCTGTTGGCCTCCTGCCTCTCTCCCTGGCCCTCCCTCCCTCCCTCCCTCCCTCCTCCCTCCCTCCCTCCCTCCCCCCTCCCTCCCTCCCTCCCTCCCTCCCCCCCCCCATCCCTCCCTACCTCCCTCCCCCCCCCATCCCTCCCTCCCTGCTGCCCTCCCCCCCTCCCTCCCGCCCTCCCCTCCCTCCCCCCCCCCTTCCCCCCCTCCCTCCCTCCCTCCCCGCTCCTCCCTCATTCCCTCTCTCCCTGGCCCTCCCTGTACCAACGGTCGAGTCGATGAGGCACACGGGGGCCACCGACCCGTCATGTGGGTACGCCCCCCCCTTCGTCTCCTCGCTGGCTGCAGGCCGCGATGCTCTCCTCGGGAGTCTGCTCCCGGGGCGCCGCGATCTTCACCCCGCTTGCATGTGGCAGCAGATGCATGACGCTGGGGTTGGCCCGGTGTGGTCTGGGCGCGGCGTGGTGGAACGCAAAAATGCCCCTCCCCCCCCCCCCCCGCTTCGACTGCACGCAAGAGTGACATTCAGCCACCTGGGGACCCCTTCCGGGGTCCCCAGGTGGCTGAATGTGATGCGGTCGCAGCGGCCTGCGCGCTCGGGTTTGCCCCCCCCCCCCCCCCCGCGCCCCCCCGAGAGTCGCGCACCAAAGGTCGCTCTTGCGTAGGGCCACTCCTGCGTGCGGCCGGCCCCTCCCCTCCGTCAGATCGTCCCTGTGTCCCCTGGCGAGAACGGGCGTGACCAGGGGGGGGGGGAGGGAGCGAGGGGGGCCGGCCACGTCACGAGTCGCGCCGGAGCTGTCCGGGAACGCCCAAGAAGGGCTCGTTCGCAGGCGGCGCAGGCACGAACCGTGACGTGAGCAGGGGGGGCGGGATGGGGGGGGGGGGGGGCGGGGCCAGTCACGGGCGTCCTCGCGGAAACATCTGCAGTTGTGTCCTTCTTCTTTTTCTTCGCTCCCGCAGTCCACCCGCATGGTCAGGAGGGTCCAGCTCCTGAGGGAACCCTCGCAGCCTTCCCCTGCGACCCGCGTTTGTGGCCGCTTTCGGTGGCCGCGCCCCGCTCGCACAGCGTCGGCAGGGGCTTCCGAGGCCCTTGTCTTGCATCTTCATCTAGCGGAACGAAGGATGACATAAACATGACAAGATTCGAAAGTGCGCCAGTGGATCTCCCTGGATACAGGGGGGGGGTCCAGAACCCCCCCCCCCTTCCTTGAATGGGGGGGGGGGGTCCGGACCCCCCCCCCCTCCCCCCCTTGGCGCTGGAAAGGGGGCGGGAGGTCGGACCCCTCCCCCCTCGTGTAGGGGGTACGGAGTTGGGAGTAGGAAGTGGTGAGTAGTGAGTAGTGAGTTAGTACGTAGTGAGTAGTGAGTATTGGGTAGTGAGTAGTAGCGGGTAGTGAGTATTGGGTAGTGAGTAGTGGGTAGTGAGTGGCGAGTAGGGAGTAGGGAGTTGGTAGTAGTGAGTAGTGAATAGTGTAGTGTGTACTGATCAGTGAGTAGTGAGTGGCGAGTAGTGAGTAGTGAGTAGTGAGTAGAGAGTAGCGAGTAGTGAGTACCGAGTAGGGAGTAGGGAGTATGAGTAGTGGGTAGTGAGTAGTGGGTAGTGAGTAGTGGGTGGCGAGTAGCGAGCAGTGAGTAGTGAGTTGTGGGTGGTGCGTAGTGGGTAGTGAGTAGTGAGTAGTGAGTAGTGAGTAGTGAGTAGTCAGTAGTCAGTAGTCAGTAGCGACTAGTGAGTAGTGAGTAGTGAGTAGTGAGTAGTGAGTACTGAGTAGTACGTAGTGCGTAGTGGGTAGTGAATAGTGAGTAGTGATGAATAGAAAATAGTGGGTAGTGGCAGTGGGTAGTGAGTAGTGAGTAGCAAGTAGGGAGTAGCGAGTAGTGAGTAGTGAGGAGCGAGTAGGGCGTAGTGAGTAGTGAGTAGAGAGTAGTCAGTAGTGAGTAGTGGGTAGTGATTAGTGAGTAGCGAGTAGGGAGTAGCGAGTAGTGAATAGTGAGTAGTAAGTAGGGAGTAGGGAGTAGTGAGCAGTGAGTAGTAGGAAGTGGGTAGCGAATAGTGGGTAGTGAGTAGCGATTGGTGAGTAGTGGGTAGTGAGTAGTGACTATTGACTGGTGACTAGTGAGTTGTGACCAGTGACTAGATACTATGTAGTGACTGTTGAGTAGGCAGTCAGGAGTAATGAATCGTGAGTAGCGGGGAGTGAGTAGTGAGTATTGAGTAGCGAGTATGGGAGTAGCGAGTACTGAGTACTGTGTAGTCAGTATTGTGCAGGGAGTAGGGAGTAGCGAGTAGCGAGGAGTGGGTAGTGAGTAGTGATTTGTGGGCAATGAGTAGTTAGTAGTGACTAGTGAGTAGTGGGTAGTGGGTAGTGGGAAATGAATAGCGATTAGTGAGTAGTGAATAGGGAGTGGTGAGTAGTGCTTAGTGAGTAGTGAGTATTGAGTAGTGGGTAGTGAGGAGTGAGTAGTGAGTAGGGAGGAGGGAGTAGTGAGTAGGGAGTAGTGAGTAGCGAGTAGTGGGTGGTGGGTAGTGAGTAGTGGATGGTGAGTAGTGAGTCGTGAGTAGTGAGTAGGGGGTAGTGAGAAATGAGTAGCGAATAGCGAGTAGTAGTAGTGGGTAGTGAGTAATGAGTAGTGAGTCATCTCAAGGGGTGGGGTTAGTGGTTAGGGTTAGGATGAGGGGTTTGGGCTAGGGTGCTAGGGGTAGGGGTGGCGGGGGTCGGGTTCCGGCGTCAGGGGGCGGCGTGGCGAAAGGGGGGGAGGGGGGGGGGGGACCCCCCCCCCTTTTGAAAGGGGGAGGGGGGGGGGGTCCCCGACGACGGGTCGGGGAAAGGGGGGGGGGGGGGGGGGGGTTCCCCGACGACGGATCGGGGAAGGGGGGGAGGGGGGGGGTCCCCCACGACGGATCGGGGAAGGGGGGGAGGGGGGGTCCCCCCCCCCCCCCTTGGGGAGATCCAGCGGCGCACCCTCACAAAATTCGGAGGTCCGCGCGGACCTCCGAGTTGTTATGTTTGTGTCATTCTTCGTTCCCCTATCATCATGCGGCCTCAGTGTACGGGTTGACTGTGCTCCTGCCCTCCCCAGGGGTTGGGCGCACATCCGAGGTAACGAAGAAGGGGAGCCAAGCCGGTGGCCTCTTCGCCCCCGGGCGCCTAGGGGGGGGGGGGGGGGGGCGCCCTCCCTTGTGCCCCCTCCCCCCCGCTCCCGGAGGGAAGACACGCGCACAGGCACAAAGGCTCGCCGATTCTCAGGAATTGGAAGCATGGGACGTGGAGGGGAAGGCGAAAAGCCAGGAATAAGGAGGGTGAACTTTGGTGGATTCTGAGACACATGTGGCTCGCGTTGCGTGTCCATGGGCCTCGCCCCTCCTCTTCCCCGCCCCCGCTCTTCGCTCTTCCCCCCGCTCTTCCTGTCGCCCCTCCTCACCTCGTCCTTTCCTCACTCGTCTCCTCCCCAGGCTCCTCCTTCTCCTTCACCTCCTGCCCCTCAGCCCTCTTCATCCTCCCTGTGTCCCTGGCCTCCCCTTCTCCTCGTCAAGTCATTCTTCTCGCGACATGTGGGCGCGAGAGCGTCCAACACCCCGCTCGTCGATCCTCCTCCCACCTCCGCCGGCCTCCGCCCTCCCCCCTCAGGAGCAAGCTGCTGCACCCGCGCGGCCCCTGCAGCCTCCGGGACATCCCGCACGTGCTTATCCCGAGGGGTTGACGCCAATCCCGCCTCACGTTGTCGTCGTCGTCGTCGTCGTCGTCGTCGTCGTCGTCGTCGTCGTCGTCGTCGTCGTCGTCGTCGTCGTCGTCGTCGTCGTCGTCGTCGTCGTAGTCGTCGCCCTTGCTCGCCGCCGTCGTGGTCGCCGTCGTCGCCGTCGTCGTCATCGTCGCCTTGTCGTCTGGGGAGGAGGAGGAGGAGGAGGAGGAGGAGGAGGAGGAGGAGGAGAAGGAGGAGGGGGAGGTGGGAGGAGGGAGGAGGGAGGAGGAGGGAGAAGGAGGAGGATGAGGAGGAGAAGGAGGAGCAGGACATCGTCGTTGTCGGAGGAGGAGGAGGAGGAGGAGGAGGAGGAGGGAGGAGGGGAGGCGGAGGAGGAGGAGGAGGAGGACGAGGGGCAGCAGCATCAGCGGGGAGGAGGGGCGCATCTTCAGCACCCGTAGCCACTCAGGCTCAAGAAGCCCAAGCAGTGTGTTTGGCAATCCTCGCACCCGGAGATCTCTGGCCCTCGCGCGTAGATCAATCCGCCCGCGTGGCTGGTACTGGATGCCTGGCGGCCGTGGCAGCGCTTGTGGAAATGACGCCCCCCCGCCGCCATGGGACGCCTTCCGGCGGCAGTTGAAGCAGCTGGCGGAGGCGTGGAAGCAGGCGAGTCCTCCTGCTGGAGCGGCGCGGCCTCCGCGGTCGCAAACGCGACAGCCCCTGGGCAGCGCGGTGGCGCGGCTGGCGAGCCTGGGGGGGGCCTGGCGGCCTGGAGCTGTGCGTGCGGGGCCGCCGACAATTTCGGCTGGCGCACTTCTTGCCGGGGATGTGGCCTGCAGGCGCCGGGGTCCGAGCTTTCAGTGCGGGCGCGCACGAGCACAGCTCCAGCGGGCCCGCCGACGCCGGCGCCATGGGCAGGGCTCGCGGCCGGGGCGGGCGCGCGCCGAGCGACCACCAAGGCTGCGCCTCCGCAGCCTTCGGCTCCAGAGGCAGCCGCTGCCGATGCCCCTCCCCGGGCGGCCACTCCTGCCCTGGAGGTCCTTGCCGGCATCCGGGCCCGCATCGCCGCCCTTTGCTCCTGCCCCGAGTGGGCGGCGGAGGTGGCGCGGCTCGGCTCCGCGCCGGCAGAACTGCAAGATGCCGAAGCGCCGCCCGGCCTCTCGAGCGGCGGCTGCAGTACGGCGGGAAACTGCGCCGAAGCGGCGTCTCGAGCGCCCATGGAGGCCATCGCCGAGGCGCATGCCGCGGAGCACACGCTGTCCGCGGTGCAAGCGGAGGTGGCTGCTGCAGGCGCGGCGGCCGAGGGTGGTGCCGCGGGACTCGAGGGCGCGCTCGCGTCTATCGCCGCAGCCGCCGCTCAGAAAGGAGCAGACGGCCTCGTGCAGCTGCAGCGGGCCGCGCTGCTGCACCGAACGCACGCGGGCCCTGCAGGTGGCGGCACTAGGCATGGGCGCCGTCGGCGACTCCGCGGAGGCCGCTCCAGCGCGGCCCGCGGCGCGCCGCCGAGGGGGCTCTGGCCGGCGCGGGCCCTCCCCGGCCCGTTCTGCACGCTGGGGAGGACGCGGAGGGAGAGGATGTCGATGGACGATCTCGCTCCTTGGATCGCGAAGCGCCTTTGTTCGCGGCAGCTGGGCACCTCCTGCCAGGTCGACGCACGCTGCCGTTGGTGCCAGCAACGGGCCGTGGATCGCTGGCCGCAGGAGTGGATGCGTAACAGGCTTGCTGCAGCGGCGGCGGATGGCGCTGCCGCCGCGCGAGTGTCGCCTGCACAGCTGGTGGAGACCCATGCTGGCCGAACGGGGTCCGTGACTGGGCCGCAGCACTAGCCGTCGACGCGGAGGCGTCGTCCGGCAGGAGGGTACGACATGCAACGCTATGCACTCAATGCCAGTTGCCCTGGGCTGGCGGCCAGGCTTAGAGAGAGAAGTCTCTCTTGAAACGCGTGGAGCGCGAGGGCGGCATCGAGTGCAGGAAGTGGATTTACTGGTGCTCGTCTTAACCCCACTGTTGACTACAGGCATTGCGCTTCCCAGAAACAGCAGCCGCAACAGCAGCAGCAGCAGCAGCAGCAGCAGCAGCAGCAGCAGCAGTAGCAGAGCGCGCCACTAGGAGCAGCAGGGGCTTCGCTCTTGGAGGAACCGTCCCTGCAGGCAGCTCCAGCTGCTGCCTCCGACTGTCCGCCTTCTGTCAGCTTGCGATGAACAAGTGATGGCCGCCCCCCCTGGGCTGATGAACAGACCCCGCGGAACGCGAAACATTTTCTTCGAATGAAAAGAATAATCCCGCGCCATGGGGTCGTCGCGGGCGCCGCCGATGGCATCGTGTACCCTTGCACGGCAGCCTCAACGCGATTGCCTTTGTATATAGGGGTCGTTCTATCGTAGACATCCGAGGCGCAGTTTGTTTCGTCTCGCGTGCTGATTACTCACGTGCCACAGTCGCCGTCGTCGTCGTGTCGTCGTGTTGTCGTCGTCGTTGTCGTCGTCGTCGTCGTCGTCGTCGTCGTCGAGGCCGCTAAGCTCACTTCCCCCCCGCCGATGCCGCGGCCCACGCGCGTGCGCGCGCCGAGGCACCCATGGAGGGGGAGGGCGCGACGGCGACCGCCGCTGCGGCGGCGCCGCAGGGAGGGCCCCGAGCGGCCCGCGGCGCGCTCTCGGGGGCAGGTGGAGCAGGGGGAGGAGAAGCAGAAGCAGCAGACGGAGGAGCAGCAGCACACGATGCACATCATAGAGCACCAGCGCGTGATTCTCATCGCCTGAAGCTCATAGGTTGGAACCCCTTCACCGCGCAGGGCGTTAACAGGTTGGAGGACATCAGTCAGGAGTTCAAACAATTCCACCTCCTCCTCCTTCCTGGGACCAAAATCCGTCAGAAGATGCACTCCCCGCACCACCACGAGTCCACCCACTCCCACCACTGGATCCACTTCGGGTGGGGGAGGGGGGCAATGAGCAACAGCTCAGCGGGTTGTAGTGTTGGCCTCCACAAGGGACGCTTCAGGACACAGGATATCGCTCGAATCGATTTTCCCCCTCCTGAGCTCCGAGGCCGCGCAGGTAGTCTGGATATTATTCAAGGATCCTTTCGGGTACGGTTAATCGTTGCTTACTTACCTCCACGACCGTCGGCTAGCCATCAGATACGGCATTGGAAAACTACATATAAGCGACTATTCAGCTGGATGACCACCCAGGCGTCGTCGGCACCTGCCCGTATTATCCCGATTTGTTTTGCGGACTTCAACACTGGACTCGGCCGCCAAGATGGCGTCATTGTCGCAGATGAGAGTGTTGGCGAATACCAGGCCAGTGCAGAATCGGACATCGGCCGCCTCGTCCACCGTACCCTTCTCGAGCAGCAGCAAGCCGCGGCCAACACTTTTTTCGACCTCGGCTACAGTTTCTTCGGCACCAAAAACTCTAGGTCACGCATCGACTACTTTATCATACCACGGTCTCTACTTCCCCTGGCCTCTCGAATGTACATGTGCTGGAGGTCCCACAGGCGTATTCAAGCATTACCCCATATGTTGGACCACATTCCGATGGCCCTCGAGCTGACCGTCGTGGCTCCCACCCCGCCGCACAGGTAGGATACTACGTCTGGGACTGGGGGCTTCTAGCAGCAGGACTTCAGGAGGGTCACTCTCGGCGCGAGTTCTTAGAGGACCTGCGCGAAGCACTCCAAGCCGCAGCACCCGTTCTAGATATTGTTAAACAAGATGACGATCCTACACGTCACGCTGCAGTGGTGAGCCATCTTATTCGGAAAACAGCATACAAACATTACTCCAGGGACACATCAACACCATCCTGGGTGAAGGAGGGTAGGGAACGGAGGCTGTCTCTTCTACGTCAGCGCGCCGACCTGAAGGAGCGAGGTATGAAGATGCACGATCCAGAGTTGAAAGCACTTTCGTCTGAACTCAAACGTTTCTCCCAGTGGCGCAACGCCTGGTGGAAATACTTAGTCGAACAGGAACTAAGAGATGCATGGTCGAAACGAGATACCGCTCGAGTTGCCCGGCTTGCTCGTGTCCGAGCGGGCACCCGCGCAGGAGTTCGGAAACGCTCATATTTGGCACTACCGTCAGCGCGACCTTTGGCAGAACATTTCCACGCAGCACTCGCACGAGCAGGGGGGGAAGGAGGATTAGCAGCAGAGCCAGCGCACGCTAGCATGTACATGCACGACGATGCGACTACCTCCCTCCTCGCCCGCCCCCTCGACCAGATCTACCCGCTAGGAGCCGAGTGCTCGGGCCCAATGCCTGAGGACGAGGCGCAGGCACACGACGACCTACGCTTCATTGAGGAGCGTCTCGGCCTGCAGCGACATCGTCGCTACTCTCCTCCCTGGTCCTGGCCGCAGGAGATCACCCAGATGATATTGCGCCCGCGCACTCTCACCAAACCAGGCCTTCCTACTACAGGTATCGGGTGTGAGGACGGACAGTACATCATACATGGGTTGGGTTGGGATGGAGATGATCCCCCTCGGCGTCCTGATCAACGTAAACTCCAGGGACTTAGTCTAGCTGTATCTAGTGCGGGCCGTGATGCACTGCATGCTGTACTATCACACGTACGTGCTACATATCGTCTTCCACAACATGCGCACACTAGCCACGGCATCATGATACCCAAAAAGAACAAAGCCTCCACTGGCAACGCAGTAGACGACATCAACGAGGTTCTCAGAATGATCCACGTTTTCTGTCCCTTCTGGCGGTCTTATCTCAGAGTAGGTTTAGTCGTCTACGGCTCCGAGTTCGACCCCCCCGACTGGGCCTACGGCGGCATTCGCAGTCGCCGACGGGAGGCACTGATGATGATTATAAAGATTTTGATTTGGAAGTGTCTCCACTGCAAGCTCGGTTTTATGTTGAAATCATACGACATGAGGAACGCCTTCGGCACTGGCGCAGGCCCAGGAAGAGCGCCAGCCCACTATCCATTTCCGAAGAGTTCTTGAACATTACCGAGCCCAAGCGATTATTCGA